TATACTATGCTTATTTATACACTTAATTTTGAAATATATTTTTCCTTTAAAAAAAATCTGATTTTCATCATCTAGATAGGAATATCTAGATGATGAAAATCAGATTTTTTTCTTTTCATGTTTATAATTATGCTTATTCATGCATTCAATTGAAAATATTTTTTCTTTCTTATCTAGAAGATGTTACCTAGAAAAACCTATAAAATGTTGGACATCCTTTTTGGAAGCTGAAGATTGTAAGCATGAAAAAATAGATGGTGGTATCCTTGGTTGTCAAAAACAAGAAGCTATCAGCTGATATAATGGTTAGTCAGTAATTAACAATAAATTTAATTTTTACATTCATTTTGGTGTACTTACCCATTGCAAGAGTAAATACCCTACCCACTGGATATTTACCTGACCCTCATTTATAGTTGCAACCTCAATAAATCGAACCTCATCTTAACTATAAGATTTTTTGTTGAAGATTTTTCTTTCAAAGTTTTTACTACAAAATCAAAAGATTTACCCATTGTTATAAATTTAAGAAAAATTTGTTAGTTACAAATTTTTTGAATAAAAAACTATAAATTAGATAATTTGAAAGAAATAATGTAATTTTTTTTTNTGCATTCAATTGAAAATATTTTTTCTTTCTTATCTAGAAGATGAAAATGTTGGACATCCTTTTTGGAAGCTGAAGATTGTAAGCATGAAAAAATTGATGGTGGTATCCTTGGTTGTCAAAAACAAGAAGCTATCAGCTGATATAATGGTTAGTCAGTAATTAACAATAAATTTAATTTTTACATTCATTTTGGTGTACTTACCCATTGCAAGAGTAAATACCCTACCCACTGGATATTTACCTGACCCTCATTTATAGTTACAATCTCAATAAATCGAACCTCATCTTAACTACAGTGAAACCTCGAAAATCCGGACTGCTGGGGGGTTTGGAAGGTCCGGATTTCCGAAATTTTTGGATTTTAGATACCTTACTTGAATTGATAGAATTATCGAAGTGAAATATTTGTGCCAGATTCTTGCTCTTTTTCTGATTTTCTGAAGTCATTTTTCAAATTTTGATAAATTTTTTTTCCTAGATGGGGAGAATGCTTTGAAAAAACTACTCACAAGAATTTACAGTAGGCAGTTAAAGGTATTTACATAGGAAAATATTTACATAATTGAAAAATAACTTAAGCCAATAATTCTCTTTCGTGTGTGTATTTATAACAACTACTGAAATCAAACTTTAAATTTTTTAATTGATAAAGAACGAGTTCATGTGCCAACAATATGAATTTTTAACATGTGGGTAATTTATTTTTGTAACATAATAGACCTGCTAAATGTAACTAAGGTGCTGGTTTTCAGTTTTGCTACCTAAATGTTTCATTTACTACTTACCTTTAACTACCTTGCANTACCTTAAATAGCCTTTTATATATTTAACATTCTATTATGTAAACACTTTTTGAATGGTATAGTTACATATTGATCAATTATTTTGTTAAAAGTGTAAAATCATCCTATCATTAATTTTACTTAGTGTTAAATTCTTCTAGTCTATTTCTTTATAACAGGAATAAGAAAAGTACTATGAGCATTGTTGTAAGTAGGGTGTCAGCACTGTAAAATGCATATTTATCAACTACCTTAATTTAATAGAATATTAAGTCATATCTGTAAAATA